TCTTGCCCTCCCTGCCAGGGCGGGCTCTGGGCAGCTATTTTATTTTATTTTTTGTGACATTGGCATGTGCCCCCCACCAAAACTTTTCTGGCTGTTATCATTTTAAATAATATTTTGTTTAAATGTAAATAATTTTAGCAATAAGATGCTATGGGGTGGCACTTTTTTTCAGCCTGCTGGCACCTTTGGATTTCCGACAAAGTGTGGTGGTGCAGTTTGTGCAGCTGGGCACAAGCACAAAATAGCTGCCACAGAAGGCAGAGTCAACCACAGAATTTCAGGAAGTGGGGTTATGCATAACTCTGGTAGTAGATTTTCAACATTTTAGGCAAGAGTTCCGTTTAATGGGGTACCTTTTAGAATTAGCATTGTTAAAAATGTTTTCTTGCACACAAACAAAGTAAGTATGCTTATTGAGCTAGCTAAGAAAAGCACTCTTTACAGGAGCCTTTCTCTTATGACCAATGCTCCCTCTAAACTATGGAGTCTTGTGAGCAAAAATTCTACTCTGTGAGCTCCTGGCATTAAAGTGGTGAGTGAGCAATTGGGCTGCTGCATAAATCAGTTTGCTGCAGAGCCATCCTTCCTGAGCGAAGACAGGAATGTGTGAGCCAGAGGCTATAAAACTGTGAGCTAGCTCACACTAACTCAGCTTAGAGGGAACAGTGCTTATAACCTCAGCTATTTTTAACCTGGCCAGTTAAACCTGATAGGAACATAAATGCTTTTTGAAAAGTGAACAAAATTGGATGTAGTGAATTATAAAAGCACAGTATGACTGAGAAGATTTGACATCAGTAGACCTTCCAGTTAGGTGCATTCAACATTTCACCTGTGCAGCCCAGTATGCAGGTATTTAGCTAGAGTCCCACTTTGTTTTTAGAATTTCTTTCCGCTGTGCAAGTAATGTTCATTTATCTTGCACTTTTGGAATGGGTTGTTTCATATTAAACTGATGCACCTGATATTGGAATGTAGGGATTATCTCTATTGCACACTTGCCGCCCTGCATCAATTATCAATTGGTTTGGGATTTATTACTCCCCTTGAAGGTCCGTTATGGGGGAAAAACATGCACACAAGTGAAAACAATGTATTCCCAAATAGTATATAAGTCCCTGGGAATTGCCATGTTAGCAAACTGGAACAAACTGGGAAGGTGGAGCAGCGCTGTGCACACTGGCCCATTCTAGGAGCCTGACCACTGTTATTCTTGGGGCTCCCAATCAGTAGAAGGGGTATGAAGATATATTCTCTTGATTTTTGTAAGCCTCGTTGATTTCTTTTCTGTGAGTTACCAGAGAAATTTCAATAGAACATTTTTCTTCACCACTTGTGTGCTTATTGCCTCTGAATCTCTTTGTGGAAAAGAACCTTTTGCCTCTTGGCAATATATCCACGTACTATAATATAGTCAATGGTAATACATTACTGAAGAGTTCAGTGTTTTCAGTGTTATAAAATGTAATTTGATAGTAGTCCTACCCATTGTGACTGTATGAAAGTGTTTCTGTCCAAATAATACATTATTTTGTTTACTACAAAAGAAAATGCTACCTTCCACTTCTATTTTTTCCTATTTCTCAGATGACAAAAATTGTATGTGGGTTTCATTGGCATAGCATGTAGCAGTTTGTAACTTTCTCTCACATATGTAATTTTTCTTATGGAAAACAAAGACACAATTTTAAACCCCATAAATATGCCAAATATTATAATTGTATATACTTTTACTAATTTATAAATGATGCATTTTATGTTGTTGTCATGACCCTGGGCCTACTAGTGCGGCCTACAGGCTCTGGTGCGGCCTAGTGGCTCCAGAGAAGCCTGCATAGTAGTAGTCATCAGGGCCTACATTTCCCAGGTTCCCTCTTGACCCTGTCATGGGTATAGGGTTGCCAAATGGGCCCGGGGGACAGGGAATCTCCTGCTTCAGAGGCCCAATTTCCGCCGCAGCGGAATTGGGCCCCGGGAGGAACCCCGCCCCCGAAGCTGCGTCACCAGAGGTGACGCAGCCACGTTGCTGACCTTGGGGGCGTGGCCGAGCTCGTCGGGGGGAACCATATGGTCAGCAACGTGGCTGCGTCACTTCCGGTGACGTGCTGCCGGCGCGCGCGTCCAGCAACAACTCCCGGACCGCAGCAAGGCTCCCCCGCCGTGAGGGGTAAGTCCACTTGGCAACCCTACATGGGTAACAGGAGATTTTGAAGGGAAAACAACATCAGCAGGGGAACAGGAGGTGGTGCCTGGGAAGAGGAGATAAAAGGCTGTACCCAGAGTGGGAAAGTGTTCTCTCTCAGGGAGCAGGCCTGGTGGAAGCTGCTGCAGACAGAGGGATCCCTCGTCCAAGAGGGGTGAATAAGATTGTGAGCAGACACCTAGGGGAGGCTTGGATTGTGAAGACAGAGGCATTAGGATTTATTATTTTACTGATTTACCTGCCTTTACTTTGCTAATCTTTTCCCCTACTTATTATTGATCTAAAGTTGTTGTTAAATAAAACTATTTGTTACTCTGCCTGGGTCTTCGCACCTCATTTGGTCATGTACAAGGGGAAACCTGTTAAGTCCTGTAAAAAGGAGTAGGGTGGGTGCTCTGGACCCTCCCAAGGAGACCCATACCAGAGTGGTGGCAGCCAGTCGTGAACCTTCCTAGCTGTTGCTCACGACATTTGTTAAAGCAGTAAAAGAAGTTCGATTGGAAAGTATTGCATATATTTCGATTTTCCCTAAAATTTCCCCCTTTTTTTCCTTTGGAAAAATGTTTTCCCCATGGCTTCAAAATTCCTGGAAGTATTCATCCATAATCAAGGAAGATGTCTGATAGAAAAAAACCTGCAAACTAGATTATTTTATCCATTAACAGTTGTGTTAATCATGTTAGAACTTGCTGTTGTGTTCACAAGTTGTGTTATTCATGTTGGAACTTGCTGTTGCAGAATGATCTTGAAAAACTCTCGTTAATAAGTGACTCTCTCAAACATCTCATTTCTTGACTTCACAACTCATTGATGTGGCACTCATCTGCAGTAGCTGATGTTATATAAACAGCAAATAAGACAAAGCTACTATTGGCTTGTGTTCTGGGATGTGTAATAAGAACTGTGCCTTTTCCCATGGAAAGGCACATGCCCCTGCATCAAAGTTTGTGCCAGAATCCATTATGATGGTGACCGAATTAGTGTATCAACGTTGCTTTTTTTTCTGTGGAAGTATTGTATGTTTTTACTAATGTTCAGGTCATTTCTGTGGGATGTGAAACTGCCTTATACTGAATCGGACCATTGGTCCATCAAAGTTGGTATTGTCTACTCAGACTAGCAATGGCCATCCAAGGTCTTGAGGCAGAGGTATTTTACATCTGCCAAGCAGATGCTCTACCACTAAGCCACAGCCCCTCCTGACATGATATTACAAATAACATTCAGAAATTGCAGTTTTTGAAGTCATGAAGCAATAAGGCCAAATACTGCATTTCCTATCCTAACAAACATGCTCTGCTGCAGTTAAGTCAGCCAATTTTGACTTCATAATATTACATGGTGTTTCAAAAAAATGTTAAAGCAGGCCTTAACAAATTTCTTTGGCTGTTGAATATAGCCCAAAAAACTAGGAGCCAGACTCATTTTTCAGCCTTTGCAATTAGGTTTTTCAATGACAGAATTTTCTGATTATTGCTACCACAAATTCTAATCCTGACATCTTCAGTTTCTCATTATTTTATTAAAGCTATGACAAGTACATCGATAAATATAGGGGCAACCCTAGTTGTCTTCACCATGACAAAAAGCTGACCTCTAACCTATGAACCAGTGGTTCATAATCTAGGATTAATTAAAAAGCTCAATTTAATTAAATATTGGAGCCGGTATAGAAAGCAATTTAAGAAATTAATTCATCCATCACCACTGAATGATGTAAAGTAGTGGTACTCAGTGGCTTGCGAGCTGCATGTGGCTTGTTATCATGGACTTCAGTTTTGTGTCCAGTTCTACACAAAACTGCTGCTGAATATGCTGCTGCTGGTCTGAAAATTCTCATACAAAATTGTACGTTTTCTACAACACACTGCATCTGTGATTTCTCCAATATAGTACAAGAATTGAAGCTGCAGAGGTATCTGCTATGTGGCATGCCTTTAATTTTGACTCTGCTTATTTTATACAAAGTTGATAAGAAGAAAATACATTTACACTTGTGTGAGGTGAAGCACCCTACTTTCCCCTCATGGATTAACATGAATATTAGAAGACCTAGTCTGGCTCACAAGTGTTCATGATGTTTGCATCTCTGCAGTTACCATCCTTATCTCTTTCAAGGCCAAACTCAAGGTTAATCATGAGAACCTGCACTCAGTTGTATAACTAGATGGGAGGAGGGAATTAGGAACAGTTGCCAACTTCCTCTGGAAAGTTCCTCAGAAGAAGATCCTTGATTGGAACATAGTAACCACCTGACACCTTAAGGTAGAGAGCTATAAGGGTACAGGCTTGGGAGAGTCATGCTAACACCCATGCTAGTATGCATTGATATGTTATGCTTCATCATGATTGACTGCAACATATAGAATGATTTTATGCTACTGCTTGGATTTTATACTGCAAGAAGATTTGCCATTTTATTCTCAGGTATACAATGTATTAGAAAAGTTAGCTTCTTTGTTTTTATGTTTATAAACTGTTGCGATGATACTGTGTAGTGAATTCTTTTAGCCATTTAATAAACCTTTATATATTCTTACAAGGTCTGCTTTACTTATGTGCTTCCAACCTTGAGTGCCCCCAGGTCTGGGAAATATGTCAGGGACCAGGAGCAATAACCCAGGGAAACCTGGGCTTGGGTTTCTGACAACATGTTTACCATTTTATATACCATTTGTTATGTATTGTTTTTGTAGTCTAGGATGTATATTATAATATGGCAACTTTTAATACAGGGACTTCAAAACTTGGGGTTCTAAATTCATCAAAGTTTTCGCCTTGTTCTTCTGTTTCTCAGTCTGCTAATAAGAAGCCTCGAAAGACTCCAGCAGAGAAGTTTCGTTCAGAACCTGGAATTAGAGGAACAGGTCGAGGAAGAGCTAATGGTCACCCTCAGCAGAATGGAGAGGGAGATCCTGTCACTTTGTTTGAGGTGGTGAAGATGGGCAAAAGTGCTATGCAGGTAAAATTGTTGGTGCCTATCATAGATTCTTCTGAATTAAGCAGATTTTAAATAATGGTCATACTTTTGCTTTGTCTTCTATTCCACGTCTCCAAATATTAAGAGGGAATTGGAGTAGACATCTAAATAAATCACCATTAAAAATATATATTCTAGGACTAGTGGATTTTTTTGTTCCTCAAGGTAGAAAGGAGCCTGAGCGGTGGGTGTTGCCTTCTGACATACTTCCGGTGATGTCAGGGTGTGTGTCATATGCTAATGAGTTATGGTAATGAGTTATGCTAATGAGCTCCTGCACCTCTTTTTCTACGAAATGACCCCTGACTATAAATAAAAAATCTGAAGAAGTGAGCAATGACTCACAAAAGCTCATACCCTGTTAGTCTTTAAGGTACTGCCGGACTCTTACTTTTTTCTACTGCTACAGACAGACCAACACGGCTACCCATCTTGAACTATAACAATAAATCCATCAGTGGTCTTAAGGGGATAGCATCATATAGATTCCACTGATGGGAGGTATTTCATTCCACTCCTACTGCAGCCTCCCAGCCTGCATGGTTAATGGTTCATATGGGTCCCATGATCTCAGAAATAAACTTTCTTAGGATTGAAAAGGCCTGCGGGGGGATGGCAATCATGGGAAAGATGTGAGGTCCAGTCCTTATCAGTAAATTATCTGCAATGTCCAATTGCTCTTTTGTCATAAAAATGCTTTAGAAGAGAAAGGAACATCCAGGTATTCTAATGTAAACCAAACTTCATCTGGATCTGAGATTATCCCCTCATGCTATCAGCCAAGATTAGAGAAGTCTAAATCTCCTTGAACAGGTATATGAAATGTTTGTGAAGAACTCTTGCTCCTTAACCATGACAAAGAAAATCCAGTAAATTTCCCCCAAAATCATTTCTTCCTCTATTAGTAGAGATAGAAAAGTAAACAAAAATGAACTAGGGTGAAAATCTTCTTCGTGGTCTCTGTGCATCACACCCATGGGATTATGTGCCTGTGCTGATCCGAATCGGTGGTATGCAAAGCTCACAAAGGGATTTTCGTGCCTCCCTCCCAGCCATGCACGGGAACCCCACTGCGCGTGCCCAAAGAGTCAGGGCACGGACATCCCGCCAGTTCTCTTCTGACCACCGCACTGTTAACAGCTTGTTTTCTGCCGGTCGGTGAAGAAGCGTTATTTTCCTCTCACGAGGGATTACTCAAATCGTTCTTCTTTTTTCCTTTTGCTACGTTTATTTTATTCTTCACCTAAAAAATAAATAACTTTTTCTGAGGGTTGCTTCCCGCCTTCCACCCCCCCCCTCTCGCTCTGAGGTAGAATTTACTTCGCCTCATACGAGAGCCCTCTTTTTCTTTGGGTGCAATTTTATTCTTTTATGGCCGAAAAGTGGGGATGTTTTAAATTGTGTGTCGGCTGTGGCAGCAAACTTGCCCCCCATGACGGCCACACACTCTGCATTCTCTGCCTGGGAGAAACACGTCGCCCAGATGCTTGCCGCCATTGCTTGAAGTTCTCGAATCAGACCTGCAGAAACAGAGCTGCGAGACTTTGAGTTGGCACTTTGGGAGTCCGCACTGACCCCCTTGCCTGCCGAAGAGATGTCTGCTGAGACCCCTTCCGACCAACCAACGACACTCCTGTCAACATCGGGAGGTACACTGGCATCGAACCCCCTTCACTGTGCAAAGTCAGCATCGGACGGGGGACCGTCTTCTAAGCATTCGGCGTCGAATGAGGCCTCCTCCACCTCTACACCGGCCAAAAAGAAGAAAAAGGAGAAGCATGAGAAAGCTAAGTCTTTTCTTAATGGCACTGTGCGTAAGTTTCAGAGTCTTGAGCGGCAAGAAAGTGCAAAAGGGCTCTGCATTGACCCCTCTTAAGCGGTTACAACCTGACATCGAGAACTCTTCCGTACCGGAGCTACCTACGATTTTGTTATTGGACACACCCATTCGGCAACTGCACCCCCCCCCCCAGTATCGGAGGTCTCCGTTGACACTGGACCAATCTCAGCCTTGCAGTGGGAAGCCAAAGAGATTGTCCCATGTAGGTCTCGTATAGATTGCTCTCCTTTGGCTGTTTCTTGGGCAAGCAATCGATCTCGGCTGGACTCTCGATATCGATGATCCCAGTCCCCCAGACGCGAGGGACATCTATATCGATCTGGGGAGTGCCCTGAGTACCGTCATTCCAGACCCATGCTCTCATACTCGCCCAGACGGGAATTGAGATCTCACTCCCCAACCTACTTTGACCCACCTGTACCGTGGGACCGTAGGCAGCACATGCCTCACTTCGTACCCAATGTCGGCATCGATGCCATGGCTGACGCCTAGGCCACAGTCGGACTGGGACCGTGGGTCACGTCGTTCACGCTCTCCCCAACGTAACTCTAAACTTTCCGCATCTCAATCTAAAGCTCCAGAGGAACCTCGTCGCCCACCCTCTCCTCTCCCTTCCGCCCCTGCTTTACTACCGAAGTTTGCTCCAATACCAGATACGCCTACGGCACTGGCATCGCCTTCCAGATCCTCCATCTCCGATACCGGCACCGATGATTCGGAACGCCTTGAGTCGCCTGAGGATCCTTCGCCAAAGCCTACGGTGTCAGACAATCTGCTGATCTCTCCCTCGGAGGATCTTTCTTCGTACAGAGATTTGGTCAAGAGGATGGCATATTCCCTGGGACTGTCGATAGTCCAACCCCAACCTTCGGTGTCGGACGCTGTCTTCGATGTCATGCAAATCGATACCTCCACGTCGATCGCCCTCCCGATGTCGACCGTCCTCTTAGAGGCAGTGAAGGCCCCATTGGACAAGCCATCTTCCGCTCCAGTGTCGTCCAGACGTCTGGATCATATGTATTGGGTCCAAGAGACGAAGGCTGAATTCCTACGTATCCACCCCAAGCCCAACTTGATCCATGGTCATGTTGTCTGCCTCAAAGAGTAAATGTACCCTTGCTACCCCTTCCGATAAGGAGAGCAAGAAGTTGGATTCCATTGGTCGCCGTTTCTACTCAGCTGGAGCTCTCGGAATTAAGACATCTAATTATATTGCTTGTATGGGCTGATCTTATTCGTGGTCTCTGTGCTTCACACCAATGGGATCTAGTGCGCCTGCGCTGGATCTGCCGGTGCTGTAGCAAGCTCTCTTAAAAGGATTTTCGTGCCTGGCCCAACTGAGCATGCTCAGGAGCCCCATAATGGCTTGATGGCTAAAACCTCTATTGCCAAATTAAACCAGCTGCAGCTTCCGGATTTGAAACAAGGGCAGCCCCATGTAGAGAGCATTACAGTACTCCAGTCTCGAGGTGACCATCGCGTGAATCACTTTTGCCAGGTCGTTGCGTTCGAGGAAGGGAACCAGCTTCCTGATCAGCCAAAGATTGTAAAAGGCTGATTTGACAGTGGCTGCTACCTGGGCCTCCATGGTTAAGGTGGCATCCAGGAGCACTCCCAAGCTCCTAACCTCCGACACTGGCACCAATGGAGCCCCATCGAAATCGGGAGTGGGATCCCTAACCCCGACCCACTCTGACTCAGGCAGAGGACCTCAGTCAGATTCAGTTTCAGTCAGCTCAGTCTAAGCCAACCAGCCACGGCTTGTAACGCTCGATCCAGATTTTCCGGTTTGGAGTCGGACTGACCACCCAACATCAGATAGAGCTGGGTGTCATCCGCATACTGGTGACAATCCAGCCCATGCCTCTGGGCAATCTGGGCAAGGGGGCGCATGTAGATGTTGAAAAGCATCGGGAACAGCACTGCCCCTTGAGGCACACCACCATCCAGTGGGTGTCTCTGGGATAGCTGTTCCCCTAGTGCTACCCTTTGTCCCCGACCTTGGAGAAAGGAGGCAAGCTATTGCAAGGCTAGCCCCTGAATTCCCACATTGGCGAGGCAGTGGATCAGTAGCTGATGGTCGATGGTGTCAAATGCAGCCGACAGGTCCAACAACAACAGCACTGCCGATCTGCCTCGATCCAGATGCCCGGATCATGGCCTGGGTGAAAGTCGAACTGGAAGGGATCAAAAGTGGAAGTGTCATCCAAAAAGCCCTGTAACTGAACCGCCACGGCCCTCTCTATTATCTTGCCCAGACAGGGCAAGTTAGAAACCGGCCAATAGTTGGCCAATTCGGCCTGGTCCAAAGATTGATTGATTGATTAATTAAATTTTTACCCCGCCCTCCCGGCCAAGGCCGGCTCAGGGTGGCTTACATAAAAACAACATAAATTTACAATAGTATAGGATAAAATGGCTTTTTTAAAGAGGGGGTGGACCACTGCTGCCTTGGGGAACAGTCCCTCCAAGAGGGACTTGTTGATAATCTCCCATAAGGCACCTCAAAACCCCTCGTGGTCAGCTTTAATTAGCCACAAAGGGCACGCACGGATCAAGGGAGCAGGTGGTAGGGTGGACAGTTAGGAGGTGACTGAATATACTTCTTCCAAATAGTTTTAAAATTCTGATTGAAACACTGCACAGTTTTGATCTCTGTGAAGTTCATGGAGTGAGATAAAATTATCACATACACACAAAAAACAGTCAGTGTTGTCCTTCCATAAAGCTTGTTAGGAATTCTGTTTATACAAGCTTCCGTATCACAAGCGGTCTTGTTAAATTTGTTGTAGAAAAAAGCATTCTGTCTTTACAACAATCTGAAATTAAAACTATTTTACTATTCCTTCTCTTTTGTTGACAGGCTGTGGTGGATGACTGGATTGAATCATATAAACAAGACAGGGACATAGCACTTCTGGATTTAATCAACTTTTTTATTCAGTGTTCAGGATGCCGAGGTACTGATAAATGATAGAGATTGTTAACAGAACTGTTTGAAGTTTGTTATAGTGTATTTTCTGATATGTTGTGGAAGGGGAATGGGATATGTGGGATAGTACTATACTTCAAGATGAATAGATAAATTATTGTACATTGATATTTTCCCAAGACTTCATGGAGCAAATGGTGTCTAAATCATTAGAAATAGGGATGGGCACAAAGTGGGAAATTGGAGATTCATGAAGGTTCATGGGGTCTCACGAACTGGGACGGACCTCCGCTGGTTAATGAACTGGTTCAACTTCGTGATGTTTGTGATTCAGTATGACTTGCAAAAGCCATTTAAAAGGGAATGTGTTCCCTTTAAATGTTTTTTGCAAGCCTCGCCCCCACGGCACAACTCGCCAGTGAGCTCAGGAGGCATTTAAATGCCTTATGAGTTGACTTGCGTGAGTCATGCCGCTGCACAACATGAGTGAGCATTTAAAAGCCTTCTGAGCTCACTCGCATTGTGCTGCCATGGCAGCACGACTTGCGCAAGTCAACTCAGAAGGCATTTAAATGCCTCCTAAGCTCACTGGTGAGTCACGCTGGTGTGGCTTTAAAGGGTTCCAGTTGCCTAGCACTCCAGCATGTCTGGCCCATGAACCACTCCCATGAACCACACGAACCTTGGTGAAAACCAAACCAGTTCATGGGAGAAGTGATTGCACAAACTGAGGTGCACAAACCACAAACGTGGCCCTGTTTGTGACGAAATTTGATTAGTAAATTGGTTCATGCCCATCCCTAATTAGAAAGCAAAACAAATCTGCAAGAATTAAACGAGTCAGTTATACTTAACCTGAACTTAGTATTGAGGTTGAGGACAGTGACAGTTCCATCCTGTCACTCCCACCCCCCTTCGCTCCTTCTGTGAGATAGTGACAGTACTGGCTTTTCTTGTGCCATCTCCAGCTATATTTCTCAGTTACTGGTTTTAACTTGTTTTTAATTGACGTTTTATGACCATGTTGTACACTGCTGTGAGCTCAGCTTGCCAGGGGAGGGCGATTGAAGGAATCCAATTAATTAATTAATGGTATGTTCTTTAATATTATTTCTGCCCTTTTAGAAATGTTGCTTTTCAGAATTAGAGGAATTGATATTTCCAAGTGTCTAAAGATCGCCTGTAATAGTAATAGTTATGGCATCTTCCGGAGCTTGATTTTGTCATTTAGAAGTTCCTAATTCTTGTTTAAAATGGTCAAGTGTGGTGGTTGAGTCTAAAAGGCTGTCAAAAGGGGCTAGATTCCATGGAAAGCAATTGAGAGTCTCTGAGAGAATCCAGGGTTCAGCTAAAGGATTAAAAGACTAACAATCTGAGATGGTCCTAGGTAATAGTTGTGGAGAAGTCAGAGGCTCTAAATTGGAAATGTAAAACAATTTTGGGACAAAATGTAATATGCATGGCAGAGAGAATTAATGCTACAGTTAGGGAACAAAATATATGAACTGTAAGGTAAAGGTAAAGGTTCCCTTGCTCGAAAGCCAGTCGAATCCGACTCTAGGGTTGCGGTGCTCATCTCCGTTTCAAAGCCGAAGAGCCAGCGCTGTCCGAAGACGTTTCCGTGGTCATGTGGCCGGCATGACTAAACACCAAGGCACACGGAACGCTGTTACCTTTCCACCAAAGTGGTACCTATTTATCTACTTACAATTTCTTGCTTTCGAACTGCTAGGTTGGCAGGAGCTGGAACTAGAGACGGGAGCTCACTCCGTCTTGCGGCACCCGGGTCTTGAACCGCTGAACTACCGACCTTCCACAGCCTGCAGTTCAGCGTCTTAACCACTTGAGCCACCGCAGCTCCCATATGAACTGTAGGGACTCAAAATAAATATGAGCTTTCATAGGAATTATTTGTTCCAAGTCAGAATAGCTTGAAAAGTATATTTTTACATATTTTTGCAAGTATATATTTATTCTAATCTTAGAGTCATTTTTAGCAGATAATGTGGGTAAAATCTGTATGAAATAAAATTAGAATGGTGATGGGACTGACTAGAAGAAACTATGCTGCTCTTTTTAGTCTGCATTGCAGATAAAATAATCTCTGTAAAAGTTCCTAAGCTTCATTATTTTACATCAAAGTCATCTAAAACACTAATTAATGGTATCCAGTCATAAAAATGGTATTTAATGAAAGACTATTCTTTGAAGGATAATCTTCAACTGGCAGCTGTCCCAGTATTTTAAATAGAATGGACCTAGTTCCAGCTAGACCAGTCAGTTTCATGAATTGTTCTGCAAAATGATATGGTGGATGTTTCAATATACATGCTTGCTTGGAAAATGAAAGTTATTGGAAAGAACTACCAGGCAGCTTAAATTAACTTTGCCTGCAGTCAGAAGAATCACAACAGGATGGCAGTTGATCCTGATGAAATAGTTTCAGAAACACTTTATCAGGAAACTTGAATGTAGTAAGAGAGTAATGAAAAATGTCTGAAAATGTAGATAAGACTAATATTTGAAGAAAAGAAAAATAGTGGCTGCTGCTACATAGATGTGTGGTTAATACGGTTTTGAAATTCTGTTTATAGTTTAAATATGGTGATACATGACTGTTTCTGTACTTTTGTGTCAGAAATATAAGAATTGGGGAATGCTATAAACTAAATGCAGCTAGGTCATTGATTTCATCGCTAAACTGCAACAACTTCTAGTTGTGTATAATTCAAATAATAGTTGTAGTTTAGAGGCCTGTGCACGCAGTCAAATCTTTTGTTTTCATTTGGATTCAAGCAGTCCCTCACCAAACCACAAACCTGTACTTTTAAACATAGGGTAGTTCCAAATGTGATTTGTCTGTTCAGAAGAGCCTGTTAGATTGCTAGTGTAAGCAAAAGCACCCAACTGCGTGTACATAGCTCCTACTGTGTGCAGTAGGTTGTTGGCTGGCTCAGGGCCAATATGTTTAGCTTCAGAAAGGGAACTGTTAATTCATACCCTGAAACTAACATAATAAGTGGGCCAGAAGGACTTGTTTTACATTGATGGTTGCTATAAAACTGTCACTATTTTTGCCCTCTCATTTATCCTCCTGCTTCAGGTAACCAGAGCCTCTGAATGTTTATGAATAGCAGTTTTGATTCTGAGCCAACTGTCTTGCTTTGGGTAGATGTGGAAATACTGGGCAAATTGCCAGGCAGTAAATAGCGTAATTGCCTAGTCAAAGGAGAATATTTATCTTTATGGAGACAGAAGACTGGATATATCTGAGAAGCCAAGAAATTTGCCAGATAGAAGGATTAAAGATTGGTAGGAAGAAGTGTTGATATGGCTTACTCCTTTTCTGTTAATGTTACTTCTTTGTGGTCATCTGTGCCTATGCAGAGCTACAATTTGGAAACTTCTAGACCTAGCTTATAGGTAGGTACAGAGATCTCTTTCCTCCAAGGCTCCAGGTTGGACTGAGCATACCCAGAGTGAGAGAAGCTGCATCTTCCTACTCTGTTCTCTTTTGTCTACCGCAGCTTTGATTTTTCTTTGAAAATTTTATTTGAACTAGTTTTTTTGTCCATTGTTGGTGAGTTAGTTACATTTTTTGTCCCTCAGTAATGGTGCTAAACATGACCTTCAAGTGCTGTTGACATTTTAAAAAAATCCTCTCAGTGTTAGAGTTGCCAGGTCCCCTCCTCATTGCAGTCTACTTTGGGGTTTTTTTAAATGAAATATTACAACCAGCATTAAAGGTCAAGAATAACAGAGGTAGAACAATCACTGTCAGAACCCTGCCCATCCTAACAAACAGGAAGTTGCTAGGATGTTTATCAATCTTCCCAACTTATTTATTCAAATATTTATATGCCACTTTTCTCTGTGACTCAAGGCAGCTTACAAATCATACTGTAAAGCTTATAGGTGTGTTTTTCTGGCTCAATTATAGCCTATGGGAGGGGGGGACCATTATAGTCAATGGCCCCATAGGTTATAATGGTTATAATGGAGAATCAATTCAGGGGTATCTGGGACTCGGGGGGGGGAGGGGCTGTTTTTTGAGGTAGAGACACCAAATTTGTAGCATAGCTGCTCTCCTCAAAAAAAACCCCAAGTTTAAAAAAGATTGGACGAGGGGGTCCAATTCTATGGTCTCCAGAAGGAGGTGCTCTCAGCCTCCGTTGTTTGTGAGCTGAAGCCGAAATCTTCTGAGCAGGCCTCTGAAATGTTGTGTGCCAGCGCCCCCTAGCACAGCTTAGAGGGAACTGTGGCTCGTAGTGTCTCTGAAATCCATCAACTTCATAAAAGTGCAGAGGATTTTCCCTGATCTTCCTTCTCACCCAAGTTTTCTGGGCTCAAACATCTCTGCCACCCCACACTTTCTTTACCACTAATAGTTTAGACAGTCCACAGCAGTTGGTATTAACTTCTGTTTAGGCACGATTAACCACTTGACTGCTATTTTTTCTAAATAGGAAGAGAGCTCTTTTCTGTCAGACTGTAGTGATCCTGATAGAGAATTCAGTTTGTTACTACTCAAAAATTGTTTCTGATCATATTCAGAGCAGCTAATTTACATAGAGTTTAACTGCCTACTCATGAGGAAAAACTTGGTATTCGGGGCAGTCCACTTTCTTAAGTCTTCTTGCCAAGACTTCCTTTCCTACCGTAACTCATAAATTGTGCCATTTTTTACTTCATCATTTTAAGGTGGATTGAGATCCTTTTCAGGGTCTAATAAGAGGGCTGCACACCCAACATCAAACTTATTGTCATTGATTTTATGTGGGCAAGAGCCATTAGGTTTCATACCCTCCCCCAACGCTGGCTACAGAAAAGCTTGATGGAATGGAGCATGGAATTACTTTCTGTGGCAGGGTTGGTGGATATTTTACCATCCACCTTGTTACAAGAAGCTGAGATCCTGGATATGTACAAGGACAATCAAGCTTCACCCATGTTGCTTCTCACTGATCTTTTTTCAGCAAGCCTTTTCCCACACCACACAGGTTCTTAGCCCTCTCTTGTTGCAATGTT